GGCGTGCCAGTAAACCTCCAGTGAATTAAGAGAGTGACGGGGGGGGGGGGGTAGGAGGAGGATCGACGCTGAAATACAGAATGGGCGACAAATTAAGAGAGGAAGGACAAAATCTGTGTTCTCAACACACACGCGCACACACGTGCGGAAAATGGAGGAAGTGAGGCGAGCAAGAGAAAACACTGACGAGGCAGAAGCTGCGGCAGGAACGCAACAAAAGAGATAGATCATGAGAGATTCCAGGAAGAATTGATCCCGAGACCGCGGCGTCGACAATAGAGAGGACATTACCATAAAACGCAGGCGGCGGCGGTGGGAGAGCGGGGCCGGCGTGTAATGCAAACTCACACGGCATCACTAAACGATCGCAAGCGTTTATTAGCCCTTTCGCCGGAAAACATCGCAAGGCATCGCTGCGGCCGCGTGGAGGCAACACGCCGCAGGCGGCGCGCTATATTAACGCTCACACAAGCAGAGTGCAGCCTTGGAAATACAAAACGCATGCCCTTCTCAAACACGCGCTCGCGCGCGCACACACACACACACACACACACACACACACACACACACACACACGGAGTCTTACGGTGCTGGAGCGGCCATGCCGGGGCATTAGCGATGCCATTGAGACCTTGACCAAAGGCACGCTATAAGACGGACGGCAGACCACACTCCAGTGTTCAAGAATGGCCATGCGGACATGGAGGTGTGCAGGGCAGCGGGGGGGGGGGGGGGGGGGGGGGGGGGGGGTGTCGTGTGAGCTTGTCTCCAGGCAAAGAACCGCACACGGGGGAGCCAAGCACAAGGAGACAAAAGATTGGTGTCGTTTTAAGTCGGAGTAGCGAGGGGTCAAAGGGGAGCTTTAAGGAACGATGAATGGAGGCAAGATGGCGGCAGGTGTTTAAAACGGGAGGCACGAGGCAGTCGGCGCAGGCACGCAAGAAGACAATAAGCGGCGAGACAAGATCCACGAGTCTATCCGGTCAAGGTTAGAGCTGAGCCCGACGCCTTTGCCAAAATGACTTTTCCACAATGACCTCCCCCCTCCCCTCTTTTCGCGATCTCGACCGCGTCAATACTGTGAAAAAGTTGAATGAGCGCAGGCAAGATGATGTCGCATCTGTTTAAGCTCGACATGATCTCTGGAGAATTGATTAGGAAACCAAACGAAGCATTCAACGCCGGATTGCGTTTCGAACTGAGCTATTTTACACCGACGTGCGCCGTATGTGTGGGGAAAAAAAAAGAAAAAAAAATGTCCTGCAGCAGCAGACTCCATTCACACGCATGACTGAGAATGCCCAATTTCATCCATTTATCATCCTTTTCAGACTAGAAGTCAAACTGATTGGCTTTTGACTCAGCATGAGACTTGATTCGAGTGTGACTGTTTGTGTGCTTTTGACTGTCTTTGTTCTTCATTTATGGTTCTAGCAAGTTTTTTGGAGCGCGGCCTTGACCGGGTCGGGGAGAACTTATTTTGATGGTTTCCAAACCCGATCAGCTGTCACAAGGAAGCAGTGACCGCTCTGGCGAAGGCGAAAGTGACAGCTGAAACTTCGGTAAGACTTTTTCTCTCCACACCAAAAAAAAACACCCAAAAAAAATTGAACCTAATTCAACTAATAGGACAAAATGAACATCGCAATTTAGCGCCCGCTAGTTGGCAGCAGAGCAAATCAGGCCCTTCGTTTCTGACAAATTCAATACTATTTGGAGAAAGAGAAACTTTGAGGACGACAGCATGATCAAAGTGTGGCAAATGTCACACTGTACACCGACAACTTTCTGCATAAGAAGAAAAAAACTGATAAAGATCGTGAAATTAAATCACTTGTGCAATATGCAGATAAAATCCCTCCGTGGCTTGATGTACAGGCATCGTAATCTCAAATCACAATCTCGTATCTCTTAGGGCAAGCATTACAATGATTGTCTTCCGTTTTTTTTCAAACTGAATTTTGTATCACGAAAAGAGAGAAAAAAAACACATCCTATGCCAACAAGGCAAGAACCATCGCGTTACATCTTTAGCACCGTGTCCTCCATAATTCTTGATACCAACGCCTCGTGCCAACAAATCCGTCAAAGTGACTTCTGGTGTTTGTTGCGCCGTTGAACTGAGAACGTGTTGGTTGATGAGGGGGAGAGCAGAACCGAGGGATAGAGGAGAGAGGGGGGAAGAGAGAGCGAGAGAGAGCGACGCCGAGGGACCGAGGGAGAGATGAAGAAGGAAGGAAAAAAGCCGGGAGGCCGCCTGCGAGCCAGGGCGACGCCCCCCCCCTTTCAATGATCGTCGCTGCACTTCCTCCCCTTTCCTCCCCCATTCCCCACGCTCCCTCGCTCCCCCCTGTCTCACCTGCGCCTCGTTCTCTTTCAACAGCCTGCGCGTGCGCGCGCCGCCGGGATCGTCGGTCACGTTGAGGATGACCACGCTCTTCTTCTCCCAGCCGATGAACGAGCCGTCCGTCAGGCCTTCCACCACCGACAGGAACTCTTGGTAGCCGTGGTGACGCGTGGACACCACGGAGAAGGCGGTCCAGTCGTACTCCTCCAGCACCTCAAATATGACCTCCAGTTGGAGGGCCGTAGAGGAGCTGAACTGGAGAAAGATGGAACCCGATTCCTGATTTGGGGGGAAGACAGCAGCAGACGAGGTTAAACAAAACAAACAAACAAACAAAAAAGAGCGCAAAAAGTCCTACCCTGGCGTAAAACTGTGGCTAAAACGCAGCCACTATGCGCTAGCATATCACTTGAAAGCCTTTCAACTAGTGGCGGATGCTGGTCTGTCAAGGAAGGGAAGCTCAATTTCGGCCTACATCATAAAATGTGTCCTGTTATTTATACGTGAATTCTACTCTCCTTTCCTTTTCCAAAAAAAAAAAAAAATGAGAAGGTTGCCTTCACCATAAGATCGGTTGATTGGCTCATTTCGCTATCAATCAAAAAGAGATTCAGCCTCAGACAGATCATCCAATCATCATGCAGAAAGCTGAGTTTCCGGGCCCGCCCATAAACGCCCACTGTCCATCGACTCCCAGAGATGCTGAGCGTCCGATGGGCGGGACAAAACCAGCATTTATCCAATGGCTCGTCTCGTTTCAATGCATCGGGACAACCTAACTGGAACTCTCTCGACGCCCGGCGTCCGCGCGGGCGACGCTCAGCGTCCACACAGTTTAAAGCGCAGTGACGGTGCGGAAATGAATGAGAAGAGAGTCGAGTCGTAACCAGTAATAAGAGGCTGATTCGGAACAAAAGTTGAGCGCATTGTAGTGCATATTTAGTCAATGACATGCCCACACAATTGTACGTACACACCTATAATTTGATCACTTACTTTTTGACATTTTAGGGGAAGCTGAGCTTCCGTTGCAGTCAGAGCAATCGCCTCTGCTTTCAACTCTGAAAGGGGTTTATTTTGATTTATGCGCAACGCCGAAGCAACGCAGGGCTTGAAGTTTTAATGGGGCCGGTGCAGCTGCAGGGCTAAAACATCTCAGATTGTCGCGCGGATTCCTATGAAGTCCAGATGGGAGCCTTCCTAAAAAAAAGACCGTTCACAGCTGGAAGGACGACGCGAGGCGACAGTGCAGCTTTCAAGGAAGTTCATCCAGAGTGCCGCAATTTAATTCACTCGCGAAGCGCAAACGCAAGCCTTGATGCAAAGTCGTTGGCTGAGACATCCTTGATCGCCAGCTTAAGATCCGTGAACGACACGACACGGGATGGGACGTTGGGCTCTTCCTCCAGATCTATGGTGAACTACTATAAGCGCAGCAACACTTGGCAACCGACACTCTCGCACTGAATAAACAGTGCGAGTCGGCCTAATGCTGATTATTTACATTATGCCGTAGTAATATTAATAGTCGTTTTGCAAAAAAATAAAATAAAATTGCAATGGAGGTGAGTATATTACATTCAGCAATTAGAACAACATAAAAAAAGAAAATGCTTTTTGAGGGTGATTTTGGGAGTGCGCATTATACACGTGTGCATATTATTCACGGGACTTTACGGTACTGTCCACTTCATTTTGGGGGTGGGGGGGGGTTCTTCCCACCTTAGCAACGTTTAGACTATCTATGTCGCAATGCTCTCTTGTTGCTCCCTCGCCCCACTTTGTGTACTGGGTGTCTGTAACCTCCTTCTTCCCCCTTCTGTTTTCTGTTTAGTGTTAAAACACAGATGCCACCACACATTTTGGTGCGGCTTTGAATGGGGGGGGAAAAAAAAAAAAAAAAGCCGAGTTCAAACAAGCAGCTGTTCCCTCAAGTAAGTAACATGGAGCCGTCCTACTCGGATGCCTGCTTGTCGATGACGTGGACCAGAAGCTGGATCTCAAGGATTTCGAATCAGCGCTCAAACGACTCGGCGGCCTTCTTCTCACTCCGGTTCTGGTGATTGGCGAGAGCCAAGTGACCCATCAGCGTGAAGGTTTGCAGTCCCCGTGCCCCTTCACGCCAACGGTGACAGTCACGTCACGTCTGCAGGATGCCGTCCTCCCACCCGGAACATCGCAGACAAGCGCGACGGGCCCAGTTGCTGGCATTTACAGATTAAACGCTGGCGAATTGCAGCACGCCTGACCTTCGGCTTCGCCCTCGCCCCTCCAGCTGCCCCCCCCCCCGCCTCCTCCCGACACCTTTGTCGTCTTCACCGAAGGCAGACGTGGTCACGTGACGAGTCGCCGTGGTAACGTAAGCCGCTGCGGCTTTCTGTTGCTGTTTCTGTATTTGTGTTGTCAAACCGCAGGGCCCTCAATTTACAGGCAAAAACAGGCCGTTGAGCCAAGCGTGAGACGTGAGGTTAAGTAGGGCTTCTGTTTGTTGCTTAGATTAATCGACTGCGGAAGAACCCATAAAAATGTATATGTCGATCAAGGAATTTTTTTTTTTTAAGGGGACTTCCCATCATTTGAGTCACATGAATGCAACAGTGGCTCACAAATGAACAATCGCACCACCCAGAAAGTGCAGTGGAACCGCTCAAGTTGATTTCAAGGTGCAAAGTTTTCAACAGGGAACGAATTAATGGCACACACACACACACACACGCACGCACCGCCGACATCTCCCCCTCACCCACGCAATAGCAACCACCGCCGCCCCCTACCTGTGGCATCCTCCCCAGCCCCGCTCCCCCTCCTACAGCCACTATGGGCAGTCCCGTTTGCGCCGACACAAACTCCAGCATGGGGGCCAGAGGACCCCAGGCCGTGCGCGGGGGCCTCTCCTCTTCATAAACCAGACCCTGCAGGGGCCGCGCGGCCAGCAGCTCACACAGCTGGGACAGCACCGTCTTCGGGCTGCTGTCGTTCACCTTGAGGATGGAGGGGAGGAAGTGATGTAAGAGAGGACAAAAGAGACGGGGGGGAGGGGGGGGGATGAAAAGATTTAGCGGACCAGATCAGTGTGTCTTAACTTTGTGTTACAGATATGGAGGGTGCAGGTAATATGCATGAGGTGAACAAAGCGAAGGAGCCGACTCGCTCGTTGTGAAAAGCCTCGCGCGACCGCAGCGCCGCGCGCCCATTCAGCTGGGATCATGAATGATTTGGAACAATGGCCGCCCATTGTCACCCGCTCCCTTCAAGTGAGGCTGAATGAGCAGAGAGGAGCGCGACAATCTCCAACCTGTAGCCAGATGACGTTGGCGGAGCCCCACTGGGTGACCACGCTCTCCCCCAGGGAGCCGTACACGCGGCCGAAGCCGGGGTACAGCACCCGTCTGCCGGGGCCGGCCAGCGCCGCCTCCGCCAGCACCGTGGCGCCGGCGTGGATGACGGCGATGTTGAAGTTCATCATTGCCCCCGCGTCGCGCTCCCGCGGGCTGGGCCGCAGCAGCAGGTGGGGCGAGGCGTCCGCCGCGCCTCGCCACTCCGCCAGGACCAGTAGGAGAGAGAGAGTCGGTATGGCGACCATGGCAACCTGCCGAGGGGGGGAGGCAGATATGTACGGCGCAAAGAGAGGGTGCCTGCAAGAGAGAGAGAGAGAGAGAAACGAGGGAGATTAAGTTTGTCTGAAATGCTTTTTGCTCCGATATCCACGACGGAGGACGTGAAAGGAGATCAATAGAGTCAAAGAATTAGATGAGAAGAAGGTCGCGGAGGGGAAAACAGCCGAGAGGAGAGGTGGGGAGGAAGGACGCCAGAAAGTGATCAGAGAGTGCGCCCAGGTAAGAAGACAGTGTCGAAAATGCAAGCAAGACAGCGCTGGGCGGGGCCTGGGCGCCTTCGCCTTCAAGCGCCTGTCGCGGATGTCACCAAAGTTTGTCAAAATGTCAATTCCATTCGCTGTTCTCGGAAATTGGACTCATTTATCCCCAACACATATTTCATGTACAAGACAACTCAATGTGCTTCACGCAAGCAAAGATAAAAAACACCTCAAAGCGTCCACAGGCACAACGGCGAACGACATTCACAATCAAACGACATTTAAACACATGAACACAAGATTTGAAATGCACTGCATTTTTTTTTCAGTGGAACTGATTTATAATTACTTCATGACTACTTCAACATTTGATGTCCTTTTAATGTGTAATCCGTTCAATAAGTGAACTGCTCCAAACGATGCAGATGGCAGAGCCGTGCACGCGTCTATCGCGTTTCCATGTCGTGTCGATGCTGTCTATATTTGTCATTTAATAGTGGCCGTATTCATGGTTAAAATCCGTCGTATAAATCGGTGCCGAAGGTCCAGGTCCCAGATGCACGAGCGACCCTACGATGAGGAAAATGAATGCCATGGCAGGAGGGGGAAAGCTCGGGAAATGGAAGCGAGAGCGTGCCGGGAAGATGCAATTGTTGCTATCTCGGTTGCAGGCTGCGAAGGAACAATATGAGAAGGAGGGAAAATGGGAGCGGGCCTTTCGAGGAAAGCGGGGCGTCAGCGGTAATAGCGGGCAGAGGCAATGATGGGGGGTGGGGGTTGTGCTGCATGAATGATAACAACAATTAAGTTCGCTGCAGCCACCCTCACCCGCACAGCTGCAACCGCGCGCTTTGGGGCGTACGCGCGAGATGAATGCGCGGCTACAGCTTGCCGCCACAGCTGCGAAACGATCGCGAGATGCCAGGGTTCATCCCTTTTGGTGCGCGGAAGGGGAACGGTTACCTGGGAGAGGGCGCCGTTCAAATTCATGGCGGCGTTTTGGATTTTCAACCGATGCCAACCGCCCTGCTTCCCCCTGTCTCCATTTTCTTGCTCCTTTCTCTTCCAACCGCCCCATTGCCAACATTCCTTCCTTCCTTCCTTCCGCCACGCACACTCACGCTGATTAAACAAGGGGACAACACTGCCATTCGCCTAAAAGTGAGTCTCCCCCACTCCGCCTCCATTTGCAAGCCCTTCCCACTCTTCTGATGATATCTCGCTCCATCTTCATCCAACTCGAGCCCTCTCGTTGCTGCATACGGTCTGATGATTCTTTGACCCTCATCGGTCTTTCTGGTGCGGAGAGGAAAATAGGAAAACAGCACCAATATGGCAGATCTGACCCCACATTTGGAGCAACGATGTGCTTGAGGAGAGGAGGGAACAAAAAAAAAAGAAAAATGAGGCATGGCGGTGGCACCAAATGCGAGGGTAGCTGCATGAAAAAGGGTATTGATTAGTGGGACGGCGTGCACGTGTTCCGCCTAAATAAATACACTGCCAGAGCTGATATTTTCTGTCACGGGGCCACGTGTGTGTGTGTGTGTGTGTGTGTGTGTGTGTGTGTGTGTGTGTGTGTGTGTGTGTGTGTGTGTGTGGCAGAGGGAACCCGGAGAAAGGAAGTGAGTGAGGCGGGTGAGAAAAAAAAAATCGAGGTGTGGAGAGATACGCAGTGAGAGAGAATGGGAAGATGTGATAATGAAGGAAGAGGGTGGAGTGGGGGGTGGGGGGGGGGACAAGGCATTTTTTTTAGTGCGCTGTAAGGCGCGGAGGATGTAGCAGGAACAGCAGCAGAAATATGGTACATCGTATAATTTGACGGAGATATATTCTGTAGTGTACCAAGCTGCGAGCCGTTAACTGTTGGGCTTGTCACGGTATTTCACTCTCGGGAGACGCGGCTCAGCTCTGCCGATGTGTGCCAAAGTCAGCCTTCTTCCAAGTGTGAATACAGTGGCGTCAACGTCCTCTGACAACGTGTTCCCATGAGCTATTTAGTCGGGAATTGGAGAAAAAAAAGAAAGGCATGTACCCCACCAGCGGCGATACCGTACATTCCCCGAACGAGAGCATTTGGGAGAGCACACAATTTTTGCCACGGCCCAACGCGGTTTCATGTCAGACAATATTTTCAGGGACCGGCCTTTAAGGTGTGCTGGAAAAATACAACAAAATAATATGACATGACCTGCATGAAAACTGTGCTATTTTCTAAACATAATAATAAACACGAATCATGACACGAGGAACGTCCTATCTGGTCGCAACACTCTCTGGTCGCTATGGTAACGTTTACACGTGCCTTCAAAATAAGATACGTCACAAATACAAAGTGCATGAAAAGTACGCCGCATATGATGCAGAGTGGGCTTGGTATGTGGGAATCTCCCGTTGAGTTAAATCCGAATTTTAAGTAGGACTCCTGATACTGTCGATGAAATGTAGCCTTCGTTTTCTTGAAAGTCGTCATCGATGCTACCCGGCCCCAAGCAAGCCCAAGCCGCAACACCGCAAAGAGGCCAGCAAGCCGACAATAAAGGCCACGATGGTTTCACTTGACTTTGCGCCTCCAAACAATCTTGTGTCGCGATGGAAATCTTCACATTTTCCCCTTATGGACAATAAATAGGATCACAAACGTCTCTCGGCAAATGTGACCTTTTGAGTTGAGCCTTATCCTGATGGGATGTTCACAGCTTTTGATTGATCCGAGCGCGCGATGACATCAGGACCCAAAAATTTCATTTTGCCAACGAGCGGCCTACTCTCGCAACACGACTCCCCCCCCCCCCCCGGACCCACACTATCAGCACCCCCCCCCCCCCCCCCCCCCAGCCCAGTTATATTTTGTTCGGATCAAACGTGCCAGCGATTGTGACAAGCCAACACACAAGCACCTTCAAGGAATACTTGGAGCGCACCGACGAAGCGTATTTGAAACGTTTCGACCGCGCTGCACCACGCCGTCACGTCAGAAGCCGTCGCTGGCGTGCATGCGTGCGGCTCTCAAAGAAACACCTGCGCCACTTGGAAACTTTATTGCTCTTTTAAGTAGCTGGAGGCAAATTAACTTCTTCGGAAGGCGGTGTCATTCGACTGTGGGGAGCAGCAAAGGGAGAAATTGTGTTTGGGAAAGAGAAAAACGTGAGGGTGGAAAGATCCCACACGGAGCTTCCCGGCTCCGAGTCTTGTGAATTGAACAAGTCATTTGACTGTCAGCAGCACAGACAACAAAGCTCATCTTTTTCAACAGCCTTGGTTTGTTTTTTTTTGGGTTTTTTTCCTTGACTTAACATGCAGAGGATAGAGGAGCGTGCCAAAACGCCTTGTGTTCGATGCCAAGTCCAGCACAAACCCCTCGATGCCGATAACGACGCTTCATGTCGCCCTCAAACGCATTTGGTCAAGTCGTCCGAGCGTATTTTGTAAATTCATTCGAACGTATTGGCCGAAATAGCTGCGTAATTTTAAGTAAATCATCACCACGTTGACACTCCCTCCCCATCGTCGTTCTGTGTCCGTCTGCAGGAGTGACTCGAGGGCGGCACGGACGCAGGAGGCAAACGCTCGGGTCACTGGGATCTGGCATCCAGGCCTCTCGCAAGCCTTTCTTTTCACCTGCGGCCGCCGACGCACTCAACTCCAATGGAGGCGCCGCGCCAGACGCCGCGCCGCGTCACATCTGCGGGTGGGGAAACGGCGAATGCAAGTGCAGCGTCTGGAACCCGCTGTGGAAGCGCAGCGCTCGGCGTGGTTATTGGGCCCCGTCGCGCTGCGCGGCTTCATTCCCTTCTGTCACGCAGAGTAATGAAGCTGCTCCCCGCTGCCGTCGGCCGCGGTCGGAGTCAATCAGACCGCGTGGCATCCGACGGTCGATACGCAACACGCGTGCAATGTATGCGCGGCGCCGCAAAGGTGTAGGCCATTTACGAGAAATGGCCCCATCTGGCAGAAAGGGCTCCTTTCCCCAAGTGAAGGATATTTGATCTTTTCCTCATTTGTACACAGAGCGTCTTTGCTCCATAGCGAGAGCGCACCATACGGGTACGACACGATACCAAGATGAGACAGTGGCAGTGCGGTGTGGTGCCCACAATGTGTGTTTCTTGGCCATTGTGTGTGCGAGATATGGCATTGCTGGGGAGCTTAGGAATGAAGGGAAGAGTGCAGCTGGAGCTCAATGCTCTCCTTGCTAATTGGCCCAGACTTCAATCACAGCCAGCGAAGTGTGTTCTCTGTCGCAAGAGATCCGCTCTCTCTCTCTCTCTCTCTCTCCTGCACACGCCGCTTTGCGATGCGAGCGTATAACTCCTCGCTTCATGCCTCCCTTGCATCCCTCTGCATCATGTTGAGCTCCAGTCGCCATGTTCCCTCCTCTCCCAAGGCATACATTTCTTTATCTTTGCCTTCTTTCACTTACGCCTTACCACCCCCCCCCACACACACACACACACACTCCCGCATGCCCCCCTCCGACCTCCCTCCCCCGCTCAGCAGCAGCAGCAGCAGCTCGCCTTCTTCCCTCTTTGATCCATGTCATGTCGACGAGCTGCCGGCAAGTGATCAGTGCAGCACCACGCATACTCTAAAGGCTAGGCCATTGGGACGAAAATTCTTTCACGGAATGATTGAAAGCCACTTGAGTGTAAAAATGAGTTGCCAAATTCACAAAAACAAAAGAAAAGATATATTGTCATTTTGAACATTCATTGTTGCACATCACAAAGCCAAAAATTAAAAACAAAAATGAAAATATTCCCTACAGTATGAAGACAACTAACATGGCTGTTGTATTATAACTAATGAATACACTTT